GTGTTTCCAATTAACATTCCAAAATGGCCTCTCGCTGGCAGCAGGCGGGCAGGCGGGAGGGAGGGGAGGCCGGCGCAGGGCCCGTGCCTTGCTGCAGACGCTCCCCATCTCTCCTCCCTGTAAAGCCCTGGTGGCCCTCCCCCTCCCTGGATCCAAGGCGAGGGGGGTCTTGTGTTCTGAGGGAGGGTTTTGGAGCGGTGGAGCTGGGGCCTCATGAATCTGCCCCTTGGGGGGAAATGACCGGCCAATGCAGACTCTGGTTGGGGGTGGGGGCAAGCTCTGGACTCCCAATCCGAGGCGCAGGCCTCTTTGCTTCTCACCCCGACAGCTCTGGCCTCTGCAGTCCTATCCACAAGCGGTTTGCAGACCCACCGGTGCTGGGTGCGGGCCTGAGATGGGCTGTCGCTTTCGCTGACACTTAGCCGTTAGCGGGCAGACCCGGCCGGGTGCGCAGAGGAGCTGCAGAGGAGGGAGGAGCTGGGGCCTGTGCTCAGGGCCCGAACGCTGGTGGTATGGCGGGGCCCTGAACTAATGAGTAAGGGTTTGGAGCTCAGGCCTGTTACTTCCCCTTCTGGGGCCTCAGTTTCCTCATCTGTGAAGTGGGTCATAGGACAGATGTGGGGAAAACAGGAGACGGTACATGTGTGACTGATGGGCACGGCCCATGTTGGCTGTTGTGATGGTGCTTGACACGGGGATCCCTGACTGTCATTGGTCTTGTGCGGCCCCCGTTGGGGCCGGGGCGCTGGCCAGGGGCCTGGCCAGCCTCTCACCCAGGCCTGCCTTGCCCCGGCCACAGGTGGTTTCAACAAGTTCCAGACGGAGTACTCGGAGCACTGCGAGACCAACGTGGACAGCTCGTCCTCGCCCAGCAGCTCGCCGCCCACCTCCGTGCTGGGCCTGGGCGGCCTGCGCATCAGCTCTGACTGCTCGGACGGAGAGTCGGACCGGGAGCTGCCCAGCAGCGCCACCGAGTCGGACGGCAGTCCTGTGCCGTCCAGCCAGCCGGCCTTCCCCGTCCAGATCCTGCCCTACCTCTACCTCGGCTGCGCCAAGGACTCCACCAACCTGGACGTGCTCGGCAAGTACGGCATCAAGTACATCCTCAACGTCACGCCCAACCTGCCCAACGCCTTCGAGCACGGCGGCGAGTTCACCTACAAGCAGATCCCCATCTCCGACCACTGGAGCCAGAACCTGTCCCAGTTCTTCCCCGAGGCCATCAGCTTCATCGGTAGGTGCTGCCGCGCTCTGGGTGGGGAGGGTGGGCAGGCGCGGCAAGATGTGCACAGGACTCTGGGTGTAGCCACGCCTGACTGGGTACCTCTGGGCCTGCCGAGGCCTGTGTGTGCCCGGCATGTGCCAGCGTGTGCCCATGGGTGTACCTGTGCCCACAGTGAGTCACTGAGGCCCCCAAGTCTGAGCAGTCCCTGGGTCTCTGGCACCTCAGGCCCCTCCTGCCCAGCCTGGCCTTTCTGGCTGCTGTTTCGGGCTGAACGAGCTGGAACATCACAGCTCTCAGACCTCCCACGGGTCTCGCTGGCTCTGCCTCACGCCCCAGCACACGTGTCTGCAGGCTGGGGCTGTCACGGTGCCTCCGTGGGCTCTACTGTACACCTGAGGGAGTTCAGGGGGTGGTCTGGGGCCAGAGGCCTACCCCCCACAGGCAGCTGTTGGAATGTGGGGACCCAGAGCACCTTGGTGGTGCCCAGATGCCCCCCGGATAAAGGGGGTGTAGAGAGAATGTGGGGGAGGCTGCCCCTAGAGCAGCGTGTTCTGCTGTGTGGCTTAGAGCCTCCTACAGCCCAGCCTCAGCTGACTTGGTCTCTATGAGCTGCCTTAGCTCTGACCCCCGCATCCTGCTTCCTCAGCCAGCTGGAGGCTGCTGGACTGGGGGTCGTCTTCCCCGGCCCCCCTCACCCAGGGAGTGGGGAAGGGACCAGTGAATGGAGACCCGGGCTTCTGCCCGCCTCTGGTGGCAGGGAGGGTGGCCAGGGCAGTCTTCCCTGGCCGTGTCCGGTGAGGGCGTTTGGGTGTCAGCTGGGCTGGGCTGGCTTTAATAACAGGAAGTGGGAGGCTTCCCCGCCTCATCCGCTTACTGGGAACCAAAACTAGGTGCCTGGCTGGGAGGAAGGAAGGAAGCGGAGGCCTCGGGGAGGGGCTGGGGCTGCCCGGGAGGACCCCCTCCCCCGCTGTGGTGCTGCCTCAGCATCTGTGCTGACCCCAGGGAGGGAGGGGCGTGGAGGGACCCCAGATTCCCAGGGGCTGAGTCTGGCTTGTGGATGCCTTTCTCCTTGAAAGCCCCTCTGTGTCTGGGGAGGGGGCGGGGCAGGGTGTAAGGGGGGACCGTTATTCCCCACTTCACGAGGAGGGAGTGGGGGCCCAAGCCTCATAGGACGCAGCGGGACAGGACCCAGCGCCAGCCCCCCACTGCTCAGCCACACCCAGGAGGCAAACAA